TTTTCCCCCCCCCCCCCCTCGCTACCTCTTTCTCTGGAGCATTTTGACATCTTTCGTATGAAAACAAAAATTTATGTAAAAATTTATGTATAGAAATAATTCGTGTAGAAAATATTCGTATACACTGAGAAAAAAAATTTCTAATATCTGAAACATATTTTCTTGAGAGAAGTAAATTATTCTCAATGGTTTAAATCTTGGAATGTGTGCATTTCACGGAACTCGAATAAATTTTCATTCATCACTATCGTTCTGCGTTACGTCATGAATATTTTACATATTGCAATATTGGAAGTGCATAATGAAAAAATCATGAAAACAGTAAAGACTAGAAGATTGACGATTCTTCTACGCGATTTAAGTAAGTTCATTCGCGACAAAATCATATTTGAGTACAAGAATATTCTCAAATATGAGGCCTTTCTCGGGTCATGTGAGTTGAGATGCCTGAGAGAATTAAGCAATTGAAGAAAATTTACTTGTCTCAAGAAAATACGTTTCAGATATTAGAAAATTTTCAATATATCAATATGTAATATATATTATGACATGTAATGTTCAAATATTTTGTAAAACTTGAGGTAACCAATATGGCTCTACTATCAACATTTATAGATCTTAAGGGGCTGGGGAACAAAAAGCGTAAACACCCGAGAGGGTATACAAAAGACGAATAAACTATTAGAAAATGTTTTTCTCAGCGTAGAAATATCCGAATATCATGTACGGAAATCCTATAGAATTTCTATACCCAATCCATATAGAAAATTTCTATAGGATTTTTTCATACATGCTTACCTCCCGCCGACATCCAAACATCGAAATTTTTCCGAAAAGATTCATGGATTAAAATAAAAATGCAAGTGTCAGAGTGCATGGGCACTGCATATGCAATGCCTGGTGTAATCTCGGAAAATCGTTTAGCATACAAAGACAAATATAATGGAGGCGGAGATGAGTTTGGTGTACTCAGGCGCCGCCTGTGTCCCCAGGCGGGGGGTCGTTAATTCGGTTTTCAAGCTCCATCAGACTAGACATAACCCTCCAACCTTTCCCCCCCCCCACGGAATAACTGAGGCCCAGGGAACTCCACCCCGAGGAGAATTCATCCCTTCCGGATGTCTTCAATCCCTTGACAAATTTTTTGTTCACGTTTTTCTTGATTTTGAGAAACGAAAATGACCGGGCACGTGAGTCCTTAAGGGGTAACGGAAGCGGTCGCAAAAGTTGTTTTTTTTTTCATTTCATTTTTCTCCGATTCTATCGAAGGGCTTAACGGGCTCCATTGACTATTTATGGGCAAACAAATTTTTTTCTGCAAATTTTTTTGCCAATAAATAGTCAATGGAACCCGTTAAGCCCTTCGTCAACCTCCCCTTAATACTTGGTTAAAATTTCAGCCATTTATTTCGATAGAATCGGAGAAAAATTAAATGAAAAGAAAAAACAACTGTTGCGACCGCTTCCGTTATCCCTTAACCCTCAAGTGGTCGCATAATGAGGGTCGCATAATTCTCAGAAAAAAATTATTTTGCCCATAAATAGTCAATGGAACCAGTTAAGCCCTTCCTTAACCTCCCCTTAATACTTGGTTAAAATTTCAGCAATTTATTTGGATAGAATCGGGGAAAAATTAAATGAAAAGAAAAAACAACTGTTGCGTCCGCTTCCGTTACCCCTTAACCCTCAAGTGGTCGCATAATGAGGGTCGCATAATTCTCGGAAAAAAATTTTTTTGCCCATAAATAGTCAATGGAACCAGTTAAGCCCTTCCTTAACCTCCCCTTAATACTTGGTTAAAATTTCAGCCATATTGGATAGATTCGGAGAAAAATTAAATGAAACAACCCAACTTTGCGACCACTTCCGTTACCCCTTAACCCTGAAGTGGTCGCATAATGAGGGAATCCCCGCCGCTTTTTGTTTTCTTTTCACACAAAAACTTCGTGAATGAAAAATCCGTAAAAATTTGTATTCCTATTTTCAAATATATAGATCACATCAACATCTTTTTTCAGTTTAGACTTATACCAATGAATTATTAAAATCTCCTGAAAACTCGACTCAGTGAAAATTCCCATGTTTAACCTCAAAATTTCACAATTTTGCACTTTTTCAAATCGAGTTCTTGGATTATCTGACAATTATTTCGCTTCGATGCCCCTATTTCCTACTCGTAGAAAGCTCAAAATTACCTGTGAACGGATATTAAATTTTTTTTGTTCAATTTTTTTTTTCTCGAAATCGTGAAATACACGGGGTGGGGATTCGCTTACCGTGCGACCAACTGCGTTCAGTGGAGAGCTGCGACCTCTTAAGGGTTAAGTACCCGGCGGATGGAGGACGCATTCTCATGTGAATTCGCAACGACAGAACGACATCAACGACATGGCGCGGCCTTAATTTCGAATTTCCTTCACAAAATAAATGAAAATATGATTTTCTTAAATGTGACCCATTATTTGAAATTAGTAAATCGTTTATTTGATATAATTAAATCCTATCTTCTGGAACAAGTTGAAAATCTTAAATGAAAATTTTTATTTGATTCAAATGGACCATTTGTCCTTAAGTAAAACAAGGTTGCATTGGAAACTGTCGTGACGGCGGGCGAAGGGCGCATTCTCATGTGAACGACAGAACGACATCAACGGCGCGGCCCTAATTTCCAATTTTTTCCCCAAAATACATGAAAATGTGATGTTTTTAAAATAACAAAACTCTTTGAAGTGAATAGATTGTTCGTTTGATATAATAAAATCCTTTCTTCGGAATCAAGTAAAAAACGGAAAATTAATAATTTTATTTCATTCAAATGAACCATTTTTCTCGGAGTACAATCGAAAAAAAAATCACTTGAAATTCTCAATCCATTTGAATTTGATTCCCCGGTGCCTGAAGCCGTCAAGTAAAAAAATGCATTGGAAAATGTCATGGCGGCGAGCGAAAGACGCATTCCCATGTGAATTTTCATGGGAATTCGCAACGACAGAACGACGATCAAAACTTTCTGTCCATTATTTCGAAATTTTCTTCACAAAATACATGAAAATATGATTTTCCTAAAGTAAGAAAGCCCTTCATTTGAAATGAATAACTTGTTTATTTGATATAATAAAATCCTTTCTTGCGAAATAAGTAAAAAATGTAAAATAAAAATTTTTATTTGATTTAAGTGAACCATTTCTCTCGGTGTACGATAAAAAAAAAGCCACTTAAAATTCTTGAACCATTTGAATTTGCTTCCCCGATGCCTGAAGTGGCCTAGAAAACCCAGACAGCGTGACTGGTCATGTGTCGAGTCCTCTAGCCCCTCGAAAAAAGCGATAAGGAGACAAGTCCTTCGACACAAGTGTCGGCGTGAAAATCGTCATCTCAGGGGGGAAAGTGAGGCTGAGCATTTCTTCTCTCAATGTCGTCATCGAAACAAAGGCACAATGCTCTCGTGGCTGACGCCAGACACTCGACACCTCGAGTAAACAAAGGATTCTTTGTTTTTTTTCTCGACGAATGCCCGATTTTCGGGTCTAAATCTCCTTCAGAAATGTTTTAGAGAATTGTCAACTATTAAAATGTATGAATTCTCGGGAGTCCTCGGAGTTTCACTCGGATCTAATTCCAAACATGTGGCGAAATATGACTTCCGGGGTTTTGGGAATTTCAGCGCAAATATTTTAAGTCAAATATGGGATTCAGTCGGGTTCCGAGTTTTTGGGTATCGTAAGTGGATTGAGGAGTGGAGGAAGAGACAATAGTACCGGTGAAACTGAAAGAGATGGGAAATAGTGGAGAACTGATTAATCGTATATTTTTATCATTGCTCGGAGAGAAAAATTCAATAAAAATTACTAGAAAAAACACGGGAAAATAACGTTTCGAAACGTAATTCGCGATCGAAGTAAAATTTACAAAAAAATTAAAAATACGGTAAATTTTTCGTGAAATTTTTCAAGTTAAGGAAATTTCAAATAAAAATGGCAATATGACGTCCCATTTTACCCCACTTTTACCGAAGATAACATTTTTAGCTTTTTGGGTAAAATTTAAAAATGGCGCAAAACGGGCCGTCCGATTGACTGTCCCTGACTTTTCAGAAACAGCAAAAGTAATTAATAAGTTTCATTCGAAAAATTCCCTTCAAAATCTTCTAGTAAACAAATCTGACTTTAAAATTTTTTAAAATCGATTCATCAACTATCAAAAGTTCCGTCACACCTGTGAAAAGTCACCCGAAAAAATTAACATGACTTTCCATTTTGCTCCATTATCTCCGGAGATAACATTTTTAGCTTTTTGGGTAAAATTTAAGAATGGGGCAAAATGGACCGTCATATTGACTGTTCCTGACTTTTCAGAAAGAACAAAATTAACGAATAATAACAAAAAACTTTTGTTATTATTCGTTTTTGAAAAAACTTTCAACTTTTTCAAAATCGATTGATCGATTATCAAAAGTTCCCATTCACACTTCTGAAAAGTCAGGCAAAGGTCCCCCGAAAATTCAATCTGCCGCTCCATTTTGCCCCACTATCACCAACGATGAATCAATCAAGTCATCCAACAATTTTCAATTATTCACAAAAAAAATTATTACCTTCAAAACTAATTCCTCGAAACCATTTTCCGTCTCATCAATCGTCCCACAATTTCCATCAAATCACAATTACCCCCTACCGCCCAACAATTTAATTTTCCTCAAGTGAATTGTCTCTAATAACCCCTCCCCGTAAAAAAACAATCCCAAAAAAACCGTTTCCGAGCAAAGAAGAAGTAGCCGGTGCGCGTCACCCGGTGCCTCCCCCCCCCCGCGTCGGCAGGTAGCGTCGCGACGCCCGTAGGGGCAACCGTTGAAGCCTCGTTCACTCATTTCAGAAGCCCCGCCCCCCGTACACCGAGCGCGCCCAACCGGGAGCGGGCATTTCAACGAACGGGAGGAGGAGCCCGAGTGCCTCCCGTAGCCAGGGGTCTCCCTCGATTGCCTCCACCAGATCCCGAGCTCAAGTTTTCCTCCACCTCAGTATCGTCTCGAGTCTCGAGCAGAGCACCCCAGCGATTCCCCCCAAAAATTTCGCCTACAAACTTGTACTTTCTTTCCGCGAGATTTTATCATCCTGATTATCATCATCTGACACCCCTGGAGGGCCGATCGGTGAAGTTCAATCGAGTGATCATTTGTGTGAGTGACGACAGCGGAAAAAAAACTGTGAAGTGAAAACAATCGAGAAAAAAATGATGGAGACAGCCAAGATGGAGCCGCTGACTCCCCCCCACACCCCCCCCTCGGGGCACCACACACACGTGGGCTCGCCCCCCCGTTGGATCCGTCAAATGCCACCCCACGGGCCACCCCCTCATCCGAGTTATCACGCAGCGATATTCGATCACTGGTTACGCGGTGCAGCGGTGATGGCAGCCCGTGGCTACTGTCCCCAAACACCACCCCATCATCATCAGGCACCTCTTCACCCGGGCCTGGCAATCCCACCGCCAGCGAGTTTTCTCACTAGACGACTGCCCGGTCAACGACCGAAAAAACAATTCATCTGTAAATTCTGCAATCGTCAGTTTACGAAGAGCTATAATCTTCTTATTCACGAGCGAACCCATACGGATGAGAGACCGTACTCCTGCGACATCTGTGGAAAGGCGTTCAGGAGGCAGGATCATCTCCGAGATCATCGGTAAGTTGAAAAAAATCATTTGGAAGTCATGTGAGAACGAAAGAGGAAGACATTTCGTGTTTATCACGGTTTTGTTGATCCTCTTGTTCATCACGGGACTCAACATCATGTGGTGGGGGTAATGCATTTGCATATCATTCCGGAAGAGTGGGGAAAAGGTTTCAGTGGCTAAAGGGTGAAATTCGATGGTTTGAAAAATTGGCATCCATTATTTCGCGATTATCTCGGAAACCACTGCGTCTAGCGGAAAAGGTCTCTCGACCATTTCTGTAGAGCATAAAATTCTCCGCAAAAAAGGTTCCTGGCTGTTTTTCATAAAACCCCGTTGTTTTCGAGATAACCCGCATGAATTAAATTTCAAAAAACAAAGCCCCATCCGACTTCCAGATTCGCAAAATTTTTATCCGTAAAAATCTCCGGAACCATTAGGTTTACCGAAAAATCCCATAAGACCTTTTTTGTAGCCCGTGAAATTGTCTACAAAAAATGTTCTACAACATTTTTCTCTGAACCCCATCGTCTCCGAGATATCCCAAAAAAATGAAGAATCCCAAAAATATCCAATGACTCTAACCGTCGTATTGTTTCTGCTCCCAGGTACATCCACAGTAAGGAGAAGCCCTTCAAGTGCACGGAGTGCGGCAAAGGTTTCTGCCAGAGTAGAACCCTCCAGGTCCACAAAGCCCTCCACCTGGAGCAATCCCCGCACAAGTGTCCCGTGTGCTCCAAGAGTTTCAACCAACGCAGTAACCTGAAGACACACCTCCTGACCCACACCGACGTGCCCCAGGACCTGCGCGTGGAGCCCCACGACTCCATGATCCACCAGCAGACATACGTCACCCCGACGCCACCCCCAAAATTGGGCTTCAGCATAGAAGACATCATGAGACGTTAAGAAGACGATCCGCCAGGGTCTCGAGAGGATCCAGGGGTCAGCCCGGTGATAAGGAGTCCATCTCCTCTGTACATAGCCAACTAATATATCCAATCACTCCTAATTTATTGAACCCCAGAATCAATCTCCCCGTCATCTCGTGTCCGCTATTTGTCTCAAGAGGAAAAACAATTTTTCGACCGAAAAGTGTCAAGCAATTTGAATTGCTAACCAAACCCGATAGTCATCGGGCGAGAACTGCGCATGTCCAAGGCGACACCAGATGGCCTATCTCCGTTAAAATTAGGATTTTTCAATCAGATAACCTAAAAGAGAAGAAACTAACCTTTTTCCCGTCTTTTGTTCCTCAATTTTTTCCCCTCCCCAGTGAACTGTAAATAGCCCCTGGTCACCTTGGACCACCCATACTGTACATACCCCACACCTCGTCCATTTTCCATCTTATCAAAACCTTTTAGCCTCCTCTCCTGCGTTACCATTAATTTAAAAGGGTGTAAATAATAGGTATACAACGCCACCTCTGGATGTACCTTATCTTTTTGATGTACATCGTGTTTAAAACTTATTGATGTGAGTGTATAACCTTAAAAAAATGTTTAAAAAAAATCATGGACTTGAGTACCTACTTTGAGAAGTTACCAAATCTCTCCAGAAATGTGTGATTGATTCGACGAAAATTTACCCCGCGTATTATTAATTATCATAGATACCAAAAATGTTAGTTTATGGGAGGATATCCTCACCCTAGTCTGTATTAAAGATTTATAGTTTGACTGGGCAAATTATTAAAGTGAAAAAACGTTTGAAAATCGAAGAAAGTTTTATTATTTTCGAAAAATCCTTCCGCATTTTATTTCAGGGACTGACGCTGAAAGACATTTCCAGATACTCGACAAAGGAAATTATTGGGGCCCCTCATTCGACTTGTCAATGACATCTGGGAATACTTCCAAGTTTTATTCTCCCTTTTCTTCACTGTTTTATTGTTGAGACAGTTGATGTTTTTCGAGGGGTCGGAATACCTTTTTCCAGGTCAAGGGATAGTAGGTGAGAGGTTAGTAATTGCCCGAGTGCGAATAGACGACCGCCTGGGGTCACTCGACTTGCGTTTATTCTCTCCTAGTGAGGGGTCACAATGTGTATCTTTAATTAAATTCACGACCTTACGATGACCCAGACCCCGCCTGCCCCTTTTTTTTGTCGCAATGAGTATTAACAGAATGGTTTTATTGATTTTATTGGGTAGGGGACTCTTGGGTGGAGTGCAAACATGGAGGCGTCGTCATCGAACAGCTGTTAAATGGCTATTGTCACGGCTAATGTCTTTGGGACAGGTTAGAATAAACACAGCGAATTCATTTTACGGCAAATTAAAATTATTCGAAAATTGCAGTTGCTGTTATGTATCCGTTAATATGCCGGTACATGACAATCATCATTTTTTGTCCATTTTCATCCGTTTCTGATGATGAAGAACATTGATACGCGCCGCCGAGTCAGGTAGCCAAAACTCAGGCCCGAGAAAAAGTAGGAGGGAGTGATTTAATTACAATAATCGTAGGTAGTGACCTCCTGTGGTTCCCAGTATTCGCTGATGGTCTTCATCTTTTCTTCTCATTCCCCGTATAATCGCTCTTTTGAATCAGCTGGATAGTCAAGAGACACAATAGAAAAGTGCCCAGGTATGAAAACCGTGAGTGAGAAAAAACTTCTTTTCTCTGCTACGAGAGAAAAAAGGAAAACAAAAATCTTTCATTTTTCTTTCTGAAACCTCACGTGTCATCCCGGATGCATTTATTTTCAGTAACGAAAAGCTATAACCTGCATCATTAGCCATCACTCTTCATTATCTTTTTACAAACAAAATTTTTTCAAAGAAATTGCCAGGAGTTTTGATGGCTTTTAATCGTGGTTGAAAAAACATTTAATGATTTGTTTTGGCACGAAATGATTCGAGGTTCTAACCGCGAACAATTTGTTTCCCTCATATTTTTATTCGGGGCCTCAAGGCCCATTTGAGAGTGACAACTGTGAAACACGGATTAATGGCTGCTTATTAAGAGGATTTGCAAAAAATTGTTCTCTTCATTTTATCGGTGAAATATTTTCTCACTTCAATTACTTTGGGCCCAAAATTCCCATAAGGCCCATGAGTGAGGGCGAAGGGGAAAGAGGAGTGATGGGGGTAGAGGGTGATAATGACAGTGCGGGGTGATATTTCTGAGGTCAGGAAAGGAAGCTCTCTCACCATTACGCGGAACGTTCCTTAAGGCCCCAACAATTTATCCCAGGAGACATTGCTGAAGTAAGAGAGAGAGAGAGAAACA